CTGGAATATTTTAGTTAAGTGTGCTTATTGGTGCTTTCTCTCCCCAAATAAGTAAGTAAATTAAATAAGCCACAGCTTAAGAACCCCTAACTGGAAACAAAACTATAATTTTAATCTACATCAACCATATTGTCGCAAAGAATTATCCGGGATTTTCAACGGAAAAGTAGCTTAAATAATTCAAAATTATATTAAATAAAAATTGCCTAATTTTTAATTCATGTATTTTTATGAACTCTGACTATGCAGCGAAGGCGATTTCAAACATTAAGAATTAGATTTTCTACTTTCTTAACATTTGTGGGTCTTTTTCATTTCATTGTTATTTTGTCATATTTTCGAAATTATCATAGAACTCTGCCGAGAGGTAAGCAAAATGTAATCTAACAGTCATGAATAACTCTTACGATTTTAGGTCAGATATAAGAATGGCATATTATTGTCTAGAAAGCATTATTTAGTGCGATAAAAAAGACTGTAAAATGGTGGAACGCTTTTTAAGGATAATTACAAAAGTTGAGAAATATTCATTGATTTAATAATTTTTATTCAGTTAAATTTTTTTTGTATAAATCTTGAAGCTATTAAAAAAATAATAAAAATTTTTAAAGGTTGCCAATTTCGCATGGTCTTTTCATTGAGATAAAAATCGTTAAAATCAATGAACGATTCTCAATTTCAGAAAATCAATTGAAATAACATTTTATACTTAAAAAAAACGACAATCGCTTTTACTTTCTCCAAAACTGTCACGTTCCATCATATTAACGTTTTGGGACTTTCAGAAGAAGCATAAAGGGGGTTTGTAAACGAAATTTGATTTAACATACATGAGTAACTGTCATAAACTTAGGACAGTTTATAAATACAACAGAGAATAGCATATTATTCCATAAAAATGTTATTTTACTTGAGAACAAGCCTTCAAAAAATGAAAATATGAAATAAGAGTACAAAGTAGTACTCTTATTTCATATTTTCTACTGGTACTATAAGCTACTGGTAGTTTCTTTTTCTAGGATTCTAACACAGATTTAGACAGTTTAAACTTAATTTTTTTCTAATTATTTTTCTTTTACTCCATTGAGCTAAATTCAAAATTATTCATCAGATTTATAAAATTATTCTTTTCATAGATAGGTTTTAATTTGCTCCACATAAATTACATATTTTTTTAACTTCGTTCTAGTAAGGATGCAAAAAATATATTATAATTTTTAGATTTTAGATTTTTTTTAGGGCTGAATTAGTGTTACAGGTACCGCACTGATGAAGACTCCATCAAAGATAACTCTCTTAAGAAATAATTCTGCTAAAATTACCGTACTGTGTGTTAAGGAAAATCCAGGAAAAAAGCTATATTTCTGGACAATAGAACCAAAATATACGGTATTTGAATCATTCGTTTGCTAATTTCTCCATTCTTTTGGTGACGGCTAACCTGAAATTCTGCTTTTCAAAATTATAGTTCTTATTATCACACACATTTAGTGAAAATACAAAACTGAAAAGTAAATTTTACTCACAATAAGGGATTTTAAGTCATGCTCTGAGGAACCCAGTTATGCTCAATGTCTTACCAAATTACCATATTTTATCACAGTTACGAAATTTTATCACAAATTAAAAAACTATATTTTATAGTTAATTTAACTAAACCATTACTAAACTATCAAGATTTTTGGTATTTCAATAGAACTGGAAACACAGTAAATTTTACTATATTGGGGAAGTTTGGGCTATTCATTTTTTCTCAGCGCTGTTGCGCAAATACACTGTTGAAAAATTTTGGTGAAACATTAGTTGATTATAGAAACTTCTTTGATGTACATCTAGGTTTGAATAATTTTTCAGTTAGAATAGCTAGTTAATAATATGTGCATTGTGAGGCTATATTCATTACGGTAAGTCTACTCATATATGTTCAAATTATGTAATCAAATTTTTTTTAAAAATTATATGTTTAATTTAATAACATACAATATATTTTTCCGAGTTGAATGAAATTCAATGAATTTAATTTTTTTATCGTCTTAATTTGTTTTACTAGCATAATTTTTTTTTACTAAATTAAAGAAAATTGAAGGTAGGAAAAGTCAGTGACTATTGCACCGACTATAGGTAAAATGTCATCACCGCTGCTCTGATGACTTTTGATAACAGTGCCATTTTGCAGTAACTAATTCGAGCATATTTCCATAAAAAAAAGTTAGTGAAAGATAAAGCGGGCAGTGGCACTTGACCTTAAAGAAACAGTGTAGCGTTTACCAAGGAAGTGCAAATCATTCCGTTCGTTAAAATTAATAATTGTGAATAATGACTATATTCCAATATGGTAGTTATTATTCTAATACTCATAGTTACTCATTCTAATACTCATACCCAACGGACACATTTTAAATACAGAACATGTAAGTAATTGTTTGCAGTTTTGAAATATGATGCCAGAAATTTCTTCTGCGAAACTATGACTAAGTTATCTAGAAAAAATTGAACTTTTTCTGTATTTTTCCTGGAAAAAAATGTTTCCCGGAAAATTTTTTGTCGCAATATGCGGATTCGTCTTTGGCATCCCACTAACTTAAGCATCTAGAAAATAAAAAGCTCCCGCAAATTTTTTTCAGGAAACGTCCATTTTTGAGCTCTATTGCCTTGACTACTAGACTATTTGAATTGACTGATCGGTGTAATAGCCACTCCAATATTAATAACATATTTATGCCTGAGATGATCTTGTCCATGTAAAATAATAATAGATAAATGATATAAAGTAATATTTTATCAAATTAACAGTATAGAATGGAAAATAATAGGGAAAATCTTAACCATGATGGAATTAAAAATAAATAAATAAATAGTCATGAAAAACAGAACCCAATTCTACAAAGAAAGAAAGAAAACTAATTGATATTTAATCGAATTTTTTCAGAAAAGAATAGGAAGAAAAAAATGTTTCTCGAAAATTTTAATATTATCAAAATTTTATTTGCCAGAAAGGTTGGGAGAAAGCTATTGCTTGCTTTTTAAAATGAAAAAAAAAAACCAATATAAAATTTCAATAACATTTAGAAATTGAATTTCCAAGTTATTCTAAGCCGTGGCGCGCTGCTACATATTATTATGACTTTTCATTAACTTTCTGAAGCATAATATACTTGAAAAAGGTGAAAAACGTTCCTGTTATCACATTTCATTAATTTTTTATTTATTCTAGCTAGTGCGTTGCTTCAAAATTACAAAATGCAGATTAATTTATCACATGGAAAAAAGTCGAAAATTTATTACACGCTGTTAGAAGTTTTTTTGGAAAAAAATGGTTAAATAACAATTTATTTTAATGATATTTTACCATATTCAAACAAAACAGTCAAATAACCATAAATGAGATGGTATTCAAACTGTTAACTGTGAGAAAACATCCATTAACTGCTTTCGCCTAATAACCAGAATTTTGTAACACAAACTAGGCCCATCTAATGAAGCTTTACTTCTGGGTAGACTTGACTTTATAGCCGAGAGGACAAATCTGTCAATCTCATGACAGACAGAATGGGCGTTCAAGTCCTTGCGTCGAAACTATGACATTTCCTCCATTCCTTCAAAACATGAAGTCTGGACTTCCAATTTGCGACTGTAGACTATTAAAATAAGATACACTTATTCACCCATAGACGGAGGCACCATAAAGCTACTTTACACAAAAAAATCCAGTATTTTTCATCACTTACGATAGGTGAAACAATCAGCCAAACTAATTAAACCACATTCCATAGTCCATCACAACCTAACACCAAAGGACTCCAAAAGCCTAGCTCCAATGTCCTATTCAACTTCCTTTTTATAATTTCTAAAACCAAACTTGAAGTAAACGGGTTAAAAACAGAAAAGGTAAAAAATGTCTTTGCTGTAAACTTTACGGTTAATTGGTAGGGCAGACTGCTGCTGGTTATTTTACCATAATTTTAGAATGAAAATTCAAACAGTTATTATTGAGGCAGAAACACGTATTTTTCTCTACTTTATTCCAGTAAACAATATTTATTTTGATATTTGAAATACTTTTATTCATGTAGAGTTTTAAATCTTATGCAAAATAAAAATAAAATTTTATACTTCAATATGTAAAAATTTCGTTAACTTCAAAAATTACATATATATAAATTTTGACATACATATTTATGTAAATGAAGTTTTTTTCATTATCATTTACATCTTTCCTTTTCAGTGTCTTGCATTTATTCACTTCAAATAGAACCTTAGTTTGATAATGAAGCTGATTAACTCATCAGATTTTATTTCTCAGATTTATTTTCTTTTAAAAAAATGTTTGCTGAATCCATAATGACCTTAACGAAATAGGTAAAAACTCTATACAAAAGGGGATCTCTAAATAAAATTTAAGCAATTTAAAAACAAAAATGTTATTAAAATCTGAGAAATCACTACTAATAAAGGTGGTATCAATACATAAAAAACAGTTGCATTTTCAATGAAATTTAAAAATGGCCTTTATTTTCTTCTTTCTCATTTTTTTCCGATATCAAACAGGTTCCAAAGCTTTCAATCTAGTGTTTTTCAATAGTGATTTGTCAGATATTAACAATATATCGGTATTTTACCAGCTTAAAATGTCTTAATGTCTTTTTTATTTGTGTTCACTAATGTGGACATTTTCCTCTTTAGTTTAGACAATTTGCTTTAAAAATGCATTTAAGTAACTATACTAATAATTAAGTAACTAACTATATATAAGAATGACTAAGTTACTAACCATAGATATACGACTAACTAAGTAAGTAACTAAACTTTTTAACTATATTAATTTACATTTATATTAATATCTAGCTCATACATATTATATTAATATCTAGCTCAAAAGGAAAAACTCATGATCTAACTTTTTATAAAATATGATATGTTTATTTAATTAACGTAAGTTTTAACTAATGTAACATAACTATGTTTTCTTAAGTAATTCATTCAATTTTTGTAATTTTCAGGAAAGTAAAATTAATTGGAAAGAATATGGATGTAAGTAAGAATGATTTCATTATTTCATTACTTAACGAATATTTCATTACTAAATTGAAATATTTCTGTAATACAATTACAATTTTTATTATCTTTCTCCTTTATTTATTTCTT